GGAGGCGGCCTCGATTTACTTCCGCCGACCTCCCAACGCCCTGCCGCCGGCGTCCGCCGCGGAAGAGATGTCAATTCCTTCGATCCTCGAAGGCAAGGCCCTGTTTGGAACGCCTCATATTGTGAACTCCTTGGTCTGCTCAGGCTGATCTCGAGTTTCGATTTAACGGCTGCGTGCAACTAATTACGCTTCACTTCTCAAGGCGACTCGCCTGAGCATCGTCTCTGGACAGCCTAATTGGAATATGCGAAGCGTCAAGAGTTTGCCGTTACACGCTGCCCGACCTGGATCCAGCCTAGGTGATGGCATCCAGGCGGCCGTGCGATTGATCGGTGCACGCTGGCGACGACGCTCCTCCCACGGTAGATGACGTCCGCTTGCCGAGCAACACGTCTGGGCACGATCAGCGGCTCGATGCCAGCCTGGATGTTCCTTCCCAGAGCCCCGCGCTGGATCGGCTGGCCCCCGTGCCTGCCGGATCCGCCTCAGGCGTCACTGAACCCCGAGGCTGCCCTGCGGGGGCAACATCCGAGGCCTCCTGGATGGGGTCCGCGCAGACGGGGTCGGAGGGTCGCGCCGCATCGCCGATACATCGCCGATGCATCGGCGACGCATCTGCGATGCATCGGCGACGTCGGCGATGCATCGGTGACGTCGGCGTGGGGAAGCATGGGCTCCACATCGAGGGGCATCGTCGATGCATCGGCAATGCATCTGCGATCCTCCGACCCCTCTACTCGGACCATCTAGGAGGCCTAGAAGCATACTCACTCCCGGACTGCCCGAAAAGCCAGCGAACAAAGGCTGCGACCTGGGTCTAAGAAGCACGTTCCGAACGATGCGGGAGTTCTTCTCAAATTCTCGCCGACGCGTAGCTGCCGTGAGAGGCCCCGGTGCACCGCACTTGTTTGGAGGCATCACCAGACCGACCCGACCCCCAGACCGTGCGGTGACCCCGAGTCCCCCCCTGACTCACCACACCGGCTCTCCCCAGCGTGGCTGGTTTCCACGCCACGCCTCGGGTCTCGGGCGGCCGTTCGAGACGATCAACGCAGCCCCGGACCGCGCTCGGCAGAGCGCAGCTGCTGGAACGCATCCCAGATCCCCACTGTCATCACCACACAGGGCGGTCACCGCACCGTCCGGGGGCCCCCGCCACTCCTCCCCCCCCTGCAGCTATTTTCGCGCACTGCCCCGGAGCTCCGGCGCTTCGGAGGCGACCAAGCTCTGGAGATGGGACACCGGCCGCACTCTGACCGTGTCTGCTATGGAGCAGCCACCCAGGAGCGAGGAGGATGGCGAGAACGAGACCGTGGGCAAGGGCGGAAATGCACATCGTGACGATGATGATGGTGATGATGGTGGTGATGATGATAGTGATGATGGTGATGCTGATCATAATGATGGTGATGATTATGGTGATGGTGATGATAATGATGATGGTGGTGGTGATGAGGTTGATATTGATGGTGATGTCGATGGTGATGTTGACGGTGATAGGAATGATGACGATGACGATGAAGATGATGGCGATGACGATGACGATGACGATGACGATGAAGACGGCGACGATGACGACGACGAAGAAGACGACGATGACAATGAGGATGGCGATGGCGATGACGCCAACTCCGACGACGATGATGATTGTGACGATGATGATGATGATGATGATGATGATGATGATGATGATGTTGGCGATGACGATAATGATGACGATGACGAAGATGACGATGACGCTGATGATGAGGGTGATGATGATGATGATGATGATGATGATGATGATGATGATGATGATGATGATGATGATGGCGATGACGATGATGATAATGATGATGATGATGCTGATGATGATGATGATGATGATGCTGGTGCTGATGATGATGACGATTATGATGATGATGGTGCTGATGATGAGGATGATGATGATGCTGATGATGAGGAGGAAGATGATGATGAGGATGAGGATGACGGGATCGGCGGTGGTCATGACAGGGTAGACTTGGGATCAAGATATGATCGCCAGGACTGCTGGCTTTTAGAAACCATCCACTGCGCTCAAACGCCTGGGCCATGCTCTGAGACAGATCCAGAAGCCTCGAACTGTCGGCTGCTTGCTGACAAGAGGCCCAATGCTTGCGGAGAGGCACTGCACTTAGATACAGGGACGGGCGGGCGAGAGCTAGAGGGACGAAGGCTGCGGAGGAATTGCCTTAGAGAAGCAGTCAGTGCAGCTGCACATATGGGCCTCGAATCAGAATATCTGAAACCTCTCCACACCACCACGTTAGGCATTAACCTTCTGAATCAAAGAACATGCCCTGACGATTGCTATCACACCGCCGGAAGCAAGGCATTCGAAGAGCGAGGGTTGTTACACCGCAGCGCGAGGGCCACGTCTACGGGTATCGAACTCCTACTTGCTGACAGGCCCGCAGCCCAAAGTCTCAGAAACCAATGAGGTTTCGCTCATAACTTAAAAGGCTATTGGGACCAAGGAGTCGGACAGCAGACGAGCGCTTACAAACGCACGAGCACATATGGCCACCTGCCTGCGTGGGCATGTCTTTGGCGCAAACGCCCAGAGGGGGCCTAACGGGGAACGTCCAAGCAGGATCTACTAAGAATTGTTCGATATGCCACGATGATTTCGAGCACTTTGGTAGTGACGCGACACCGAGCTCACATTCACGCGGTAGCCTGGGATGCCACGGCGACTCCATCTTGACAGCAGCGAACGGCTGCCATCGAGAAGTGCAAGTTCTTGAAATCAGACGAGCCGAAGCCAGCCTGGGCAACACTGGGCTCTCAATTGTACGAGGCACCTGCGTGCGCTGATCAACTAGCCCTTAAGATTTCGCATGGCCGCGCCAGCCAATGGGCCATGTCGAGCTCTGCGCCGTCGTCCTGGTGAACGGCCGCGGAACACCCAACGCAGCTGGCCTGGCCAAGATGCTGCGTGACCGGGCTAAATGATTGGCTCGCGGTGCCAGGCTCTCGTCCAGGTCTGGCACAGCACCCCATGGGTCGAGTCGAGATCCACGAGCCCTGGACCCTCAGCGGCCTCCCCCCGGGCCCAGCTCTCTGTCCCAGATCGTCTGTCTAGCAGCTCCGGAGGCCCGTGGAGGGCCCCGTGGAGCCAACAGCACCGCACAAATCTCAGGGCCCGCTCCCTCGTGGCGAAGGGCGCGCGCCCCCTCCCCAAGGCCAGCCCCCTCCGCGGACGACGTCGCTCGAGGAGCGCAGGCGCCCTCCTATTGCGCAGGGCTGCGGCGAGCGCGCCCGCACGACGAAGCGAGGGCCACCGGGCAGACGGCTTCCGAGAGCGCGGGGCCCGCGCCGCCACGGGCCGAGCAGCCCCCCCCAATGCGCCGCGCGAGGAGGGCTGCTGGCGGAGGAGCCGGGCAGGCGCCGCATCTGCTCCTCGACCCGCGGCGGCGCGCCCGGGGGGCAGGAGAGAGGGGCCAGGCCGTGAAGGCGGTGGGGCTTCTCAGAGACCCTCCAGCCTTCCGAGAAGCCATCTCTCCTGCATTCGGACGAAGCTCAGACCGGGGATCTTCTGGCCCGGGTCCATCCTGCAAGATCCTGCAAGATCCTGCGCCCAAGCCAGGGTCAACGCGAAGGATCCTGCAAGATCCTGCAAGATCCTGCACCCAATCCCGGGTCAATGCGACCCTGGCCCTGCAAAGTCCTGCAAGATCTGGCGCTCTGGCTGACCCCCGTTTGAATTGACCCCCGTCTCGAGGCTCCCCATCAGAAAACTCCTCACAAGGCCGGAGGCCTTCCGAGCCTTCCGAGAAGGCCCGCCCCCCCTCTGACTTCCCTCCCCGGGCTCGCCGCCGAGACCCAGTCGGGCTTCAGGCACGGTCGGGAACGCTTGGCGTGTCGCGGCTGCGGCCCTGGCGACACGCTAAGCCCTGCAAGCGGACAGCGTGTCGCTCCGCTCCGTGGGACGGGAGGCTGGAAAGGCGGGGAACCTTGACGCCTGGGGACTGGGACGTGGCTAATTAGCGCGTCGCGACAAAGCGTGGTGGGCCAGCAGCGGCGGCGCGCCACGCTGCGCCAAGGTTCGTAGACTGGGCGACCAAGGCTGCGGAACTAGAGGCCTCTCAAATAGGGCTCGAGTAGACGAGTAGATGGGGTCGGGTGATCGCGCCCCATCGACAGTTCATCGCCGATGCACGGCCGACGTCGGCGACGCTTCGGCGCCGTCGGTGTGAACAAAGTCGGGCTTCACATCGAGCCGCATCGGCGATGCATCGGCGATGGGGCGCGATCCTCCGACCCCATCTGCTCGGACCCCATCTGGTAACGGCTGGTAGCGGCTGGCATGAGCAGCCGCACTGGCCAGCTCCACGACCGCGGCGCAGAGGAGGCAGCCGGTGCAGAGCGGCGCCAGCCCCGCCCCGAATGCGGCCTGCCTGACGAGGCCGCTGGCCTGCGCGTGTGCGATGGGGAACAGCCATCATCGTCACTACGGTGAGGGCATTTTTGTTCGTTCCTCTTCCAAGGCCGCGAGGCCCGTGAGTGAATTCATGCAATTAGGCGGGTCCCGCCCGTCTGGGCTGCCGCCGCCGCCGCCGCCCGCTCGCCCCTCGGCCCGCGCCTCCGACGGGTCAACGAACCCATGGTCGGGCGTTGGCAGAACTGGGTTTAGTGGAACCTGGTTTAGTGATCTGTACGGGGGGCGCTCCCCCGTCCCATTTCCACTAACTGGAACTGCCGTCACCTGAAAAAAAACACCAGCTATGGCAAACCTGGTTTAATGATTCTGGCCAGGGGCCCCACCACTGACCGGGTCCCCTTAACCTGGGGCCCTGGCCATACCCGACAGGGGCGCGGGCCACGGCCTCCAGCCAGGGGCGGCACGCTGAGCGCGGCGTCGTGCTGCTCGGCGCGGGCGGCGGCTGGCGGGGCCCGCGGTGCAGGCTGCCCTGCACGCGGCAGGCCGCGCAGACGTCCTGCGCCGCCTCGCTGGCGACGGCCGGCTCCGCCGGCTCCGCCGGCTCCGCCGCACCGCTGCCGCCTCCTGGGCCGTGCGCCAGGGCGCCCCGCTTCTCGGCCCACTGCACCTCGACGGCCGCCGTGGGGGGCCGCGGGCTCTCCGAGCGGCTGCTTCGGCCTCGTGCCGGGGGCCAGACCTTTCTGCAGGTCCGCCCTGGCTGGAGCTCGCGGGCCCTGCCGGCAGCGGCCAGCGCGGTGCGCCCAGGAAAGGATCTCTCGGCCAGCGCAGCAGGCGAGCCACAAATACACACGCACGTACGCGTCCTTCATTTCTAATCGCGCTCGCTTCTAATTGTGCTCGTTTCTAACTGTTCCCAGCCCCCTAGTGGCCAGGAAGAGGCCCAGGGCAGAATAATTAGAGAGGACAGGATTTGAGCCCCCCTAAAAATCAAAGAACTTTGATCAATGCGTACAGTCGAACATCTATTCAAGAAGCCTCCTCCCGAGACGCTGGGCCAGCGATGCTGAACCAGCTTGCCAAGAGAAGGCTGGTCCGATTTCTCTCGGGCACGATCGCCCCTGCAGGGCGGACAGCAGAAACTGGCCCAGGCTCCTTGTCAGAAACTGCCGGGAACGTGCCCCAGATTTCGCAAGTCACTGGAAGAAGAAATACGCCATAAACATAAACGTTTTGCGCTCCGCGCGGATTTCTTGGATCTGCGCTGGAATCCCCCTCCCTGGCGCGCGGAGCGCGCCAGGTCTCGGAGGCCCAAGCAGCCTGCGACTCCACTTCCCTGGATCGCCGCTGGAAGACTTCTGTGCAGACTTGGCCCTGCGGGCCTCCTCCGCCACTCGGAAACCTTGATGTCGACTTGCTTCGTGGCTCTTCGAGAGGCCCGAGCAGACTCTTCCTTCAGGTCGAGCGTGTCCCCCTGCAGGAGGACTTTGGGCGACAGAGACAAACATAGCTCCAAAAAAGCATGTACGCCAAAATGCCCATGGTCAAACAAGCGTCCCCAGACTGTTTGTTGACTACTTTGGCATATTCTTCCTGTGGAGGGACAGGCCCGACTCAAGACCTCTTGGCTCTGCGCGTGGGCCCCCCCCTTGGCGAAGCGGCCCCGCGCCCTCGGCCCGCGCCCTGCTTTGGCCGCGCCTCGCCTGCATCGCCGCCCCGCCTGCCCCCCCGACGGCTTGCCTCGCCGCCGGGGGTGGGGTCCCTCTGGGCGTCGTCGTCGTCGTCGACGTCACCGTCGTCGTCATCGTCGTTGTCGTCGTCGTCGTCATCGGCGTCGTCGTCGTCATCGTCGTCGTCGTCGTCATTGTCGTCGTCGTCACCGTCGTTGTCGTCGTCGTCGTCGTCGTCGTCGTCCCGACTGCCTGCCTCGCCTCGCACGGCAGCGCCCCCTTCAGGGGCGGCGCTGGAGGCGCCGAAGGGAGAGACCGGGCGCCGACCCCGGAGATCCGCACGATGTTCGCTCCGATGCTTCTCTTCCTCGACGGCGGCCGTCTCCAGGCAGCAGAGGCGCCGCGCTGGGAGACGCCCGGGCGGATCGTGAGAGCACTGGCCCGCGCAAGCACGAGGCCGCTCCAGGCCTGGATCAGGGACCGACCGACCCGGCATTCCCATGCAGAAGTGCCGTGACGTGCTCGCAGAACAGAAGAATGTCCCAAGAGCACGAGCGAGGCTCCTAGAGCATAGAGCCGATGTGTGGAAACAAGAGGGTCTCAGCCAGAATCGTTCCAAGAAGATTCCTGGCAAGCCACACGTGTTCTTGGGACATCATCTCGTGGGCCGACTGGCAGGTCAGGACGCTTCGCCACTGCCTGAGCACACCGCGTCGCTGCCCCAGCAGGCCGCGCGCCCCTGGAGGCCCAAGTTCCAGCACCACTGCTCTGAGCCAGACCAGGCGCAGGCTCGAGCCGACACGGCCTCGGCCACTCGGGCGGCTCGGCTGCATTGCGGGGGTGAGCACGAAGAGGAGCCCGAGGTTGGCGAGGGAGAGCAGGAAGAGCAGCAGCAGGAGCGGCAACAACACTGGCAGCGGGACCGCAAAAGGGGGGAAAGGACGAGGAGGACAAGTGGGGAAACGGACAGTGGAGGCACTGCGCGAGTGGGCAGGGTGACGGAGATGGGAGTGGGGAGGGGGCGGGATGGGGACGAGCGCGCGGGCTCCAGCTTGCCACCCTTCGCAAACGCTCAGTTGAAAGATGTGGGGAAGAGACGGGGGGACGCACCACAGCATAAACATGTGGTGAAGGGAGGCGCAGAGAGAGCGAAACACGATTGCATTCTACAATCTAGGCTGGACAGATCTCTAGCTTACCACAATGCTGAGGAGCTCGTCAGCAACCAAAACATTCACACTGGCGCGCTCCAGTGGGATGGCACAGATGGTAAAACTTTGAACTTCAATCGCCCCGACTACCAATGAATGCATGAGAACCTGCTGGGCGTACCGATGAACTGCTCAACTAGGGATCGAATGCCATATCTTCTGGAGCAGGGGCTTTGTTGAATTCTAGGCCAGTCAACATCAGCCAACGAGGATCTTCTACCTCACCCTGGTTATTTTCCTCGGAGGGCAGAATGGTTTATGCATCCAAAGCGGGCGGCGTTCTTTTGGTTTCGCCCATTCGCTTGCCCTAAGCAGCAACACATGCTGCTAGCGGGGCTGGATGTGGCCACTCGCACGATGAAGCCATACGGCGTGGCTGGGCCTGTCAGCATGAAGCGAAACGGCGTTCGAATGCCATCGCACCTCAATCCCACTGGCCATCTGGGAGCTTCGCTAGAAAAGGGTTCGAATACTGGCAATTAGCAACAAAAATCCCACAAGGGGGACGGGGAGCTCCAGACCACACAGAGCTTGTTCCGGAACCCCCTTCTCGCCTCCATGCTGGCCACATGTTTGGCCTGGGCGGCCACGACTCCTGGTAACAACTCTGCTTCGTCGGCGGCGAGGCAGAGCTGGCTGCACCAGCGATACAGTGGAGGCCCGACCACAAGAAACCTTCTACAAGAAACCCAACTCTGAGACCCCAGGACGTCTGCCGATTCCTGGTGTGGGAACGTCACGCTTCCCACGACAGAACCATCCAGACCCAAGAAGCCCAGGGCACCCTAGAGGCGAGCCGGGTGCCTCTTGGCATGAGCCTACAATGTAGAGCTGGGCGGGGGCACCGCTAAGCGAACGCCCCCCGGGAAAAACACACACACGCACACACACACACACACACACACGCGCGCACGCACGCACGCACGCACGCACGCACGCACGCACGCACGCACGCACGCACGCACGCACGCACGCACGCACGCACGCTCGCACGCACGCACGCACGCACGCACGCACGCACGCACGCACGCACGCACGCACGCACGCACGCACGCACGCACGCACCCACACACACACACACACA